TATTGAAATTTATAATTGATAAAGACTTTATTTTCAATTCCTCACATCTTCTTTTTGAATAATGAAAGCCATAGGTTTTTAACTGCTTTCATTTTTCGTGATATTCAAAAAGAAAAATAAAATAAAACATCAAGATCCATTATATTTTAGCATCACGAATAATTAAGTTCTATCATCTTTTTTCTTTTGCCTATTTATATTTCTTGGATAAAAAAAAAGGAACGATTTGTCATATAAAATCAAAACAAAAAAAAAACATATAGCACATCGACGAAAGAACTAAATCCATCGTTTAAATTCTTGCTGCACCATCCGTTTCCGTACGAATAACATGAGCATTTCTATTTATAATAGCAGAACTAGAAAAACAAATAAAATTTAAGAAGAAAATGACAAAAAAAAAGAAAAAGAAATCGAATGTAAGTATCATCGTATGTATATATATATATTTATATCTATTTGTGATGAAAGCAGTAACGTTTTTATTTTTTTGAAGCACAGCAGAAAGAAGATGATTACGGATTATAGGTTTGTGGTGGTCGATTGAACAATCGTAAGAGAAAATTGATTATAACAGCAATCATAGCCACAAATAAAAAGAACTAAATAATATAAAATAAGCAAAACTTAATAAAAAACAAACAAACAAATAAACTACTTACTGAAGCAGATGCAGCAGCACCTTTGTGAGGTATATACTGTATTTTTCCTACATCTCGTACTTTTTTTTCCCATGCTGCTGAACAACATCTATTCAATGAAAATAAAAACACATTTATATAATTTAATTCGATTAAAAAAAAAGTCCTACCCAAGAATGAGATATATAAAAGCAAGTACAAGCATGGCAAAAATAAACTATTTTCGAATAAGAAAAACACAGAATTTATTTTTTTAAATGTTTATTTTATACTTACAGCTGTATCAAATATAGTTGGCAAACGATATATAAAACGACCTGCATGAAGAACAGTATCAATAATAATTAAGATAAGACCAATTACCGCAAAAGCAAGATCTGCATTACGTGTATGAAAAGCACTAACTTTTGCTTTTGAGAGACTACCATAAGTATCGACAGTTCTTCCTTTATCAGCTGCACCAGCACTTATAATTACACAGATGAGTGCAACCTAGATTATTCATATTTAAATTATGAATTACATTAAAAAAACAAACAAAAGAAATTAACATACGAAAATTATAATATTTAATATTCCATGAATTGTTGTAAAAAAACGTACACCAGTAGCACATCGTGTTGGTCGTGAAGATGCTGGATCATTAGGTGGATTTGGTAGAGTAGAATTATAATGTGGTGTAACAACAGGTGGTGATGAACCACTAATATTTGTTTCATTAGGATATCGAATGTCTGTACTACTCATTATTGATTGTAAAATTTATTTAATAAATCTTCAAGAATAGAATTTATTTGATAACAAATAGATATAATATTAGTTTGATTTAAAAGTTATATTATCAAATTAATAGAATTCTTTTTTTTATCTACTTAGGAATGATCTTTCCGATCAAATATATTCGTATCGGCATATGTAATAGCTTCTAATGTATGGAATTTACTATTGTCAGGAAACAAAGATGTAAATATCTTACTATAGTCAATTTATTGACAAGTGACTATGTACCCAAAGTATGATCAGTTACTGATCATTATGGCTTTTGTTATTGGTCGAAAATATTTGTAAAAAAATTTTCTTCTATACAGTTTCCTAGAGCTTTTCATAAGCTATAAGGTCATACACTTAACATCTCTGATCATTCTATTTTTCAATGATTTATCACTATTTTTCACTAATGGTAAACTTTTATGTTGACCATAGAAGATGTGATCAGACACCAAACATTCTCAGAAATTATCCACGACATAGCACTATAAAACACATCATAGCATAAGAAACTATATTGAATAGCTTATATCTTAACTAAATATTTTTTCCACCAGAATTTGATTCGTAGGAAATCACAAGACGAAATAATGGTTCAAAAAGAGTATCGGTCGAAGTTCGATGGAAAAAGTATTTAGTTAAAATGTAAACTATTTGATGTCATTTATTATGCTGATTCGAAATATCATGTTTATTTCGTAATAGAATCGACTTTTGATATCACGCATAAGTTCTGGAGGACTTTCAAATAGTGTGTTTTGTAGTACGATATCGGAAGCAATTTCTAAGAATGTTTGACATCTGATTAAATCTTCTATGGTCGACATGGACATTCACCATTAGTGAAAAAGCAGCGGTGAATCATTAAAAAATTACATTTTTTCCTACTAAAAATAGAATAATCAGATATAAGTTTGTAGCTCATGAAAAGTTTTACAAACATTTTCAACTGATACTAAGGATTACAATAATTAGTAACTGATCATGCTTTGTGTATATAATCACCTATCAATAAATTGACTGGTAGCTTCTTCAAAGTCTTATGAAAATAAAATTTATTATACATCATTCGACATGTCTCGATTTGTTCTACGACGTGGGATATTTGATTTCTCAATAGATCATCTTATTCGACAGAGAATTCTTTCAGCTATTCTAATTCTTTGGTTTAATTATAAATTCGATATGTTACCTGTCGAACTAATATAACTTTTATATAAGAGAGAGTTGAAATAAAAGCGTAGCAAAATTCTCATATAAAACATGATCGAGCTAATTTAATCTTAAATACTAAATATCGTATCGTACAGATTTTTTTAAACCTTTCTATACGGTAGAAAACGATTAGAGAAGCTATTTTTAATATCAATATCAAAAACAAAAATGTTACTATAAACTTTTCATTGAAAAATATAATTCTCATTAAATTTGAAATTTTATAACCTCGTTCGTTTTATTTTGGATAACATCATATGTAATATCGTTAAGTAAAAAGTTATATAAATACTTTATATTATACTTATTGACTGTGTAAGTATTGCAAATGATATATACCTATGGATGAATACGTACTTCTTTTATACAAAACAGAAATAGTCACACTATTTACGTGTTTTTTTCTTTTTCTATATTACAAATGAAAGCAAATATAAGATACATGACATTTAAGTACGGTTACGCATATTGCTCATGTAAATTTTTTTCTTTTTTTTATTGGACCAAGAATAATTGCTTTGCATATGTTTATACTTATCGTAGCTGAGGTAAAGAGAAGGACACATACTTTTTTCATAGAGCAAAACAAAAAAAAAATTGTATCTGTGATCTTCATATAGTCTATCGTGCGTGCGTGCGTGTGTGTGTTTTTTCATTTACAATCGAACAAAGAAACGAACATACACGAATGCTAAAGTAAAAGAACGAGAAAAATACATCGACTATCGTCCGATTCGTTTCTATAGGTTAAAAATATATTGTCGATTGTGAAGAGTTTCGCTTGATTGACCACATATTTCAATTTCAACATCGATGTAATGAATAGCAACAGATAAGAGAGAGAGAGAGATTGAGAGTAATAAAAATTCAACTAATGTATTTTTATCTTTGGTAACAGAAAGACGAAAATGACTAAGCAAAATTTTAATGTATGAATAAGGTAAAAACCATATTGCATACATAATAATATGTCGTCACACTGATTTGTTAACAAATAATTTGCTGATAGCTGTATAAAAGAAAACTATGATGTCATTCATTAAACGCAATAACTCTTACAAATACGTAGAAGTTGTTGATAACTGTCATAGGACTACCTATGACGAATGCAATAGAAAATTATCATTGATGGATATAGTTTTTTTGTGCATGTATTTTTCCAAACACATTAAATCAATATTTTTTATTTCTTTTTTTAATTAGAAAAACATGTTTAGAAAGTCGATATAAACATCAACATAGATGTGAACTTGTCTAAAAGAGGAATGGAAAAAGTTCTTTTTTTTTTTGTTTTTTTATATCTCATTTAGTACGCTATCGTTAGTGACGATGATCGACTGTTGATGAGTCGTGTCGCCGAACTTTTATTGGCATATATAGATACATTTATCGGTCTTTAAAATGTTTATTCCAGACATTTTCTCGACAGAAATAATCGCTTGATGCCTATCGTTTATATGCAAATGGTTTGATAACGGATATTGAATGCGACAGAGCAAAGTTGTTCGCCCAATTTGACAGGAAATAATAACATAAACAAAATAGATTTCCATTCTTTTAGACATACACTATCCTTTCGATTGGTATTATCATTCTTCTTTGTGTGTGTGTATGTGTGTTTTTTTCTATTCTAAATTCTTTCAGAATCAATCAATAATCATGAATTTATCACTTGTTGAATTCTATATTAGCAGGCAAGTATTATAAACAATTTTTTTTGCTGGTAATATTATTTATTAGAATGTGTTTTATCATAATCTTAAATTTGAAATCTATTTAAAAAAAAAAAGAGCAACCTAATATGACAACCACGTCTTTCTCGTATACGAACTCGTAAAAATAATACTTTATGCACCGATCAAGTTGACTTCACGTAAATAGTTCTTGTACTAACGAACAATATATTCATATGAGAATAATCCGGCTTTGTCAAAGTAGATAATATTAAAAATAATTTTGTTTATTATCATATTTTTTTTTGCTAATTACGACTATTCCGTTGTTTATATACAAAGAACAAGGATAAAATTTCAGACTTGTTTGACATGTTGTCCATCCATCCTCTCATTGAATACAAAAACAAACAAAAACTAGTTAACAATTTAATATAGAAAATCATATTATTTTAATATAATAGAAGAACATCATTTGTCATTAAGATTTATGTATGTCTGTATGTTTTAGGAATATTTATGTAATATAGATAATGGTTAGAAAATAAAAACAAAAGTTTTCTTTCATTATATTTGAGAATATAATAAAAGTACCTTTATTATAAATAAGACAATTGCAGTTAATACATCATGATGTATCTGAATAAGAGATCAACATTCAATGGCTTAACTTTTCTTTTCCCTTTCACTTGTTGATGAGATTTTATACTTTCTTTTAAATTGATAAGCAATTACTAATGAATATCGTGCTGAAAAAAGATTTTAATAGAATTATTAAAGTATAAATAATCATTTATTTGATGAGTATAACTTTGTGAATCTGTCATCGAAAATCAGATGCTTTCACATATGCTAAATAAACTTCTATTATCGATAAATCATATCCGCTGAAATATAATCTTATATGTTCATTTCCGGTATTTATGATACTATTAGAGAAGGAAAAGGGAAAGAACGAAATGATTGAAGAAATTTTTCTTTTTTTGTTAGTATATACGTTTTCTTTTATTACCAAACATTGTGTAAGAATAATGTTTTATTATTAGTAAAATTACTATAAGTGAGAAAATGTTTCTTCACTTTGCTTTTTTTTTTTGACAGCTTTTTATTAGACTTCATCTGACATATCAATAAAAGAATGTTAAATATCATTGTGAAAAGAAATGTTAGTCTTTTTTCATATATAACACATTTAACTGGTAGATAGATTAAAGTATGATGACCTGTCAGAAAAACTTTTTTTTAAACGAAGCGTTAAGTAGTTTTTCTTCAAAAATAAAAAAGAAGATGGTGACAACTATTTTAAATTGTTTGATGATAAAGACCTTCTAAGAATTCTTATGATGTGTGGGCGTTTTTTTATATATTCGAATGTCGAGTTCATCAAAAAGAAATGAGTTCGTATCTTGAATTTGAACCTTATTATTATTTATGTAAGAAAGAAAAATACTTTCTATATTATATGATACATGTCACTCATAAGCTTCAATGTAAATTCTAATAAAAATTTTATTTATTTTTAGTAAAATAAAAAAAAAGTCTAATTTGTAAAGCCTTGCGTGTTTCTTACACCTACCAAGATAAATGCGTGACAGTTACATCCTATAAGTCATTGTTTTGACAAAAAATATAAAATCTGAAGGTGGTTCATAATAATTTCTGACGTTTCAGAAATGCAGCTGTGGCTTGTCAAAGATTGATGTTTTTTTCTGTGGAATGTTGTCTTCGTTTTTTTTTTCTTCTGTCAGCTAGGTCAAAATGAAGAGAGAGAGAGAGAGATGAAGAGAGAGAGAAAAAAAAACAAGAAAAACTTTCTAAAGTTCATTATATAATGATAATGAAAGCGTAACACACTTGAAAACAACCATAACCAATTGATATACAATTTTGGAGTAAAAACAAATCAACAACTAATTTATATTCAATATTATCAATTATCATCTGTCTGGAAAGAAAAACATTTTTATTCAAAACGAAATAAATTAGATCTTTTTTTTTCCGCATGATCTAATGTATACAATCCATGATGGAAAAAATATCTCTCGTAATATCACAAGAACGTTTCATCGGTAAATATTTTATATTCTCTGG